TTAAAATATAATGGGGTTGATTCGTATAACTTCGTTTAATGTATGCTATACTATATATATATATAATTGGAGCCTTATATAAGGAGAGGAGAGATTGTGGCTGAGAATCTTCCAAAACTGATGAAAGATATCAAGCCACATATTCAAAAGTACTGTGAACTCCACGCAGGATAAACAACAAATCTAGCATGTTTAAATGGCAAAAGACCAGCCTAGCTGGAGTAAGGGAAATACGGAGAGGGAAAGTTCTTAGTGATGAGGTTGGTTGGACACACTAGATCAGGTAGAGCCTTGTAGGCTGTGGTAAAGAGTTAAGATTTTATTCTAGTTATAATTGGAAATATTGGAGGATATTAATAAGGTGAGCCATAATCTTCTGTAAAATCACTTCTGCTGTTGTGGGGGATTAATTGAAGAGAGACTACTAGAAGATTGTGATAGTTCAGGGGAGAAATGCTTATGTTTTTAGCACAGTTATAACACAGAGATGGTCATTACTTTATTTTGGGCGCCAGATACCCAGCTGAAAATAGAGGCTTCGTTACTATGGAGAGGGGAAGAATGGATAATTGGGATGCAGCTAGCATCTTTTCTACAGAGATTGAATAAAGGAGTAGGTCCAGAAAAGGAGAGTGAGAAGGAGCAGCCAATGAGGTAGGAATAGAACCAGGCTGGTGTGGGGCACCATGCAAGTTTAGAAAAGAAAATGATGTAAGAAAGGAGGTGGAGTGTCTAAGCCTGTCAGATGCTGCTGAGAGGTTAAGTAAGATGAAAACAGAGAGCCTTTGGCTTTAACAAAATGAAGATCACTGGTAATCTTAAAGAGCTATTACAGAGGGAAAATGAGGACAAAAGCCCAATTGGAGAGGGATACATCAAATAAAGAAAAGTCTTTTGAGGAGTTTGCCAATAGAGGGGAGCAAAGAAAAGAATTAGCTAGAGGAGACAAGGATCAACTGGAGAAAGTTTTGTTTGTTTAATGCAGGGCATTATTAAGGGATATGGCAATGACCTAATAAAGAAGAAGATATGAGAATTCATAATGGGGCAGATCTACTGGCATGGCCGTGCCTCACATCAGTGGGGCAGGGAAGGAGAGGAACAGAAAGTATTCATGAATAATAATAGAGTTTATCATAGATTAGCTTCTCAACTTAGTAAATTCTCCACTTTAAAGATAGAAATGGTAGATAACGCATTATATATCTGGTTTATGCAACAAAGATACAAGACAACTCCATTCAGCAAACACATTTTAAAAAGGTGGGAAGAGGAGAGTTCAGCTTTAAAAATATATACGGAGTATACTGTGTGGTAGGCATCATTCTGAGTGTTTTACACTTAATTCTCACAACTCTGTGATGTCCTCAATCCAAAGATTTGGCAAATTAATGTACAGTTATATATTGTAAGTTAAAATGTTAAGACATCTGTATATTATTTTTTTTATTATTTTTCACTTTTGCCAGTCTTCTTCACGTTAGATAAGAGGGTTTGTACTATACTACATTAGATAAGAGGGTTTGTTCACATTAGATAAGAGGGTTTGTACTATGCTTTTATATACATAGAGCATGTTTTGAATGATTCACAAAAACTGATAACAGTGGTTGTTTCTGGGGTGGGATTTCAACTCTTATTGTTGAAATCTTCCTACAATGTATTAGTATGTTTAACTAAGTAACTTAACCTTTCTTTAGTGGTTCAGGTTTTTGCAATGAGTCCAGGAGACTTTTTGACAATTTCTTCTTCAGCAAATAGATAAAATATTTATTTTATCTGTCATTCACCATTTGTCTCATTCAGATTAAAGTTAAATGCTAAATAAAAATTCTGATCATTTTGGGAAGTTGTCGGGCCTAGATAGTTGGATTTACGATCACCTGAATTTTACTCTCTATGATATTTGCCAGCATATAAACGTCTACTTCAGAATTATTTGAAATATATTGAATTTTAAATCTTTAATTATATTATATCCTTATAATGTTTTCTATCTTTGGCAGGAATTAAAAGGTGGGAAAGCTTATGCAAAGGTAAGTAAATGTTCTTTATCTCTTTTAGACCTTGTAATATTGCTCATTGCTATTTATACACTTAAAAAATTAAAGGGTTTACTGTCCTAATTGTTGTTCAAGTTTGGCTCTTTTTAAATAAAGTAACTTGGAGATTGAACTTTCGAGTCCAACATTATAGGCATACAGTAGACCCTTACCAACATAGGAGGTAGGGGCACCTACCCTCTGTGCACAGTTGAAAATCCATGTCTAACTTTTGACTCCCCAAAACTTTACTACTTAACTACTAGTCTCCTACTAGGTACGCTACTTAACTGTTTGGCTACTTAACTATTAGGCTACTTAACTGAATGTATGACATACCTAACCAAAATTTTTACAATATATTTATAGAAAAAAATCCATGTATAAGTGGACCTGCACAGTTCAAACTCATGTTGTTCAAAGGTCAATTGTATTCTTTCTAAGTGCTTATTAGGGGATGTTATTCTCTAGTTTTAGCTTCCCTACTGGAGGATGATTTCTGGTTTGCATCAATCCATAGGAACTGATAATTTAAACAATCTCAGCTGGGAAGTATTCCCAGACCCACCTACTCACAATGGAAAGGGACCCCTCCTCTTTGCTCTACATGTATATACATGAGCCCTACATAGGGCTATACATGTAGGTCCTACATGATCACTACTATCCTTTGTTACTTTTACTAGTTATATGGAATTACTAAGTAATATGCTCACGTTTTTGCTGAATAAAAGGAATTAGTAACACTACCAGAAACCCACATATTCCTCCTTTATTTCCAGTGTCTGTGAATGGTATCTCCATCAATTCAGTCATCTGAGCCAAAAGCCTGGACACTAGTTTTAACTACCTAACTCCCTAAATCTAGTGGGTTGCAATGTCGGTTAGAATGTTATTTGCTACAAGTAACAGAAAACCCTCCTCAAATAGAGATTTTTTTTTTTAATGTCACAAAAGAAGTAATTGTGAGATAGAGCTGCTCTGGAGTTGGTTAATCCACTGACTGCAGAACATCCTCAAGAAACTGTATTATTTTTTTCTCTTTCCATTCTGCATGTGATGACTTTGTCCTTGGCTAGCTGCTTATGGACACCAGGTGGCTGGCTGCTTGAGTTTTAGTCAACACATTTACATATGACAAAATCTAGCTGCCTGTCCATGTATTATTTTTTTGAGTGAGAAAACTTTTCCTAGATGGCCCTCAGAGGATTTCCCCACACCTTTCATTGGCCAGAACTGGATCATATGCCCACCCTAAACCAGTTCTGGCCAATAGGAATGGACTGCCATGGTTAGCTTAGACTAGTCACAGTTTAACAGAGAACTAGGGGTTAGATTACCTTCTTTGTACACATGAACAAACTGAGAGAAGACACCTGAATAACATCAAGGCTTTGCTAGCAGGGAATATAGCAAGGCACTGAATGTTGGGTAGGCAAACAACAGGCTCTGCTGTGGTTGACACATGCTCTTGATTTTTCCCTTCTAAAAAGCTCTTGAAACCATACCTTCTGTACTTCCCAAGACCACTGTCTTAGGTTATGCCTTCATTATTTCTTATTTACAGCTTGCATCAGCCTCCTATCTAGTCTGTCTGCCTCTATTATTGTCTCCCTCCATCCTCCATATTATTGCTGGGGTGATCTTTCTAAAATTAAAACATGATCATATCATTCCCCCACTGTTAGTCCTTCAGCAGCTATTCATTGCCTATAAAAGAAAAGGAAAATTCTGTAACCTAGCATGTAAGACCCATCTTTGTTTGCGCATAATTTCTGCTACATCTCTTCTGCCTGTCATCGATCTGCACTTGCTGTACATAATGCTCATCTTTATGCTTCAGATGTACTGCCCTCATAATCTTCCTGGAGTATTCCATGCTGTTTTAGCCTCCTTGCTTTGTGACTTGATGTATTCCCTGCCATGCACGTATTTCTCCCTCCTCTTGTCCTGTCTACTCATGTATCATTAGACTCAGCTTAGTCATCCTTCCTCACTGAGAACTTTTCTTTTTCTTTCTTGCAATTGTGTCTTCCTCTATCGTAGCACTTATCACACTGTACTATAGGGATTTCTTTTCTTTTTTATCTTCTCTTATTAAACTGTAAGAGTAGGAATGATTCTACATTTCCAATGCCTAACATTACCTGGAGTGTAAATGCTGAAAATTATTTTCTGAATGAATTAATATCTTCCACAGATACAGCTAGTATTTATGTATATATGCCGTTGTCATGACACAGTTATTCTCAGTGATGCCAAAGAAAAAGTCACAAGGAAACATGAACTCTCTGGTAACTCACAAGAATACAAGCTCTTTGAAGGCAGAGTATTTGCCCTTTTCATCACTGTTTTCCTGTGTCTAGAACAGGGCCTGGCACATAAAAGGTGCTCAATAAATGTTGACCTCCCTCATTGGTACCCATCAGCCTAAAACTTTACATTGACATACCCCACCTTTTAATATGCTATTTTAATGGAGACTGTCTTAGTTTGGGCTGAGTTACCCAGAGACTGAGTGACTTCAACAACAAACATTTATTTCTCACAGTCTGGAGGCTGAGAAGTCCAAAATCAGTGTGCCAGCAGATCTACTGTCTGGTGAGGACCCACTTCCTGGTTTGCAGATGGCTGCCTTCTCATTATGTCCTTACATGGCAGAGAGCAGAGAGAGAGAGGAAACAAGCTCTCTCTCATCTTTTTAAAAGGGCGTTAATCCATTCATGCAGGTTCCACCCTCAAGACCTAATTACCTCCCAAAGGCCCTACCACCTAATACCACCCTATTGGGGATTAGGGTTTCAACATATGAATTTGGAGGTGACTCAAACATGCAGTCATAACAGGGACTGATCAGATTCTTTTTTTTTTTTTTTTTTTTTTTTTTAAA